TGTACTTTAGGAAACAACAACATACCACAGATGCTATGTGAAATTTTTGCATTTGACTCAAGTTCAAATGCAAGCAACAGGTGTGGTGCTCTCACTAGAGATGCCTAAGTAATGGCTGTTCCATCTGTAGAGCTATGACACTCCAGAAAGGCACATGCTGTTGATCAGGGAGACAGGCAAGCTTCTAAGTAAGATTAAGCAATACCGTACCATTATAGATACGAAAACACTTAAAGGGAATGATATTCAAAAGATGCTACTTAACAAAGAACTTTTCTTATAAATATACTTTCATTGTAAGTGTCCTAGTCATATTTTATGTCACTATCTTGTTACCTTAAAAAATATCAGTATAGTCTTATTTTTAAAGTACAGCAGTTTTATTCTGGAAGATTTGAAAAACAGAATTAAGAATTCTTTTAAGAGTATTTGTTAATGTGTTATGTTTCAAGTAGAATGTAATGTAGAATGCTTGAGGTTTGTGTTATAATGTGATTTTATTATGGTTCCAAGTAGTTGTGTGGTAGTTTGGGGGCCTATGAAACACTTGAGTAAGATAAGACTAACCTTAGAAGTTAGCATGAAGATAGTTTTAGCTGATATTTTGGACCTATGAGGATTCAAGTGAGACAGGGACTGGCTTTAGCTGGGAATCCTTAACAGTCAAGTGAATTGCACTATGAGTAAAACTGGTGATGTGTGTAGGAGGGACAAAATAACTAGTGACAAGTTGTGAAAAACATACATAAGGTGAAGGTAGGTCCTGCTTCCCAAGATCCACCTATTCCACATTATTACTTCTCACAGCAGCCTGAAGGCCATTCCCCTGGCCACTGATTTTGACATTTTCCTTGTTTTAACAAAATTATAACCCAAGATGAAAAAACTGTCTCTTATTACACTGACTCATCAGCTTTTCCTCAGATGTACTACTGTTATTCAACAAGATGAGGTAGCAGAGAGTAGAAGACTGCCCACAACTGATGCAAGAAACTTATTATATCATGTACAAATATGCTATATAAAAACGACATAGCCAGCATGGTGGCACACACTTGTAGTTCCAGCTACAAAGGAGGCTGAGGCAGGAGACTGTAGAAGCCCAGGGCTGATCTGGACAATATACTGAGACCCCAACCTCTTAAAATAAAATCCACACATGTTTTATAAACATCTTTACCAGGTGATGTAGCCCATCATTGTGCAAAGATTTTTAAAGGCCTAATGCAGCAGTGAAATTAACATTTTGCTATTATCTTAAATAATAAAAATCTTTCAAGTAAAATCTCCATAAATGGGCAATGGTAATGTTATTCTTGTGGGCAGCTAAAACAAAACTTCTTCAAGACTATCTGGAAATCTTAAAAGACGTGTTTCTGCCACCAGAACCAAAGATAAAAGGCATCAAAAGTAGAAAAAAATTCCATTCTGCAAAGAGTACGAAAGGCTTGTTGAAGCTAGTTGTGGTAGCACATGCCTATCTATAATCCCAGCACTTGGGAGGCTGAGACAGGAAGATCACCACTAGTTTGAGGCCTGCCTGCTTGGGTTATTATAATGAGTTTAAGGTCAGAGCACGATTCCATCTCGGGGGGTGGGGGCGCTTTTTGGAGTAAGCTCAAAAAAGGAAGAACTGGGAATGTAGCTCTGTGGTAGAGCACTTGCCTGGCATGTGTGAGGCTCCAGAGCCTTCAGTCCTTATTACTGGGAAAAGAAAAGGAAAAAAAAAAAAAAAAAAAAAAAGGGAAGCCAAATAGACATGCATTTTGAAAATTACATATAAAACTGGCCTAGAAGTAAAAACTGAGACTAATCAACTGTTTGAGATCCATAGGTAAGAAAAATCACTGTGCAAAGTGGCACACTCCTGTAATCCCATTATTTGGAGGGCTAAGGTAAGAAGCCTGCCAAGAATTCAAGGCCAGCCTGGGTTACACAGTGAGTTCAAGGCCAGTCTGAACTGCATAAGACCCTGTCTGAAAATAACAACACATCTATGGCCATATCACCCCGAAGGTGCTCAATCTTCTCAAACTGAGACCTAGACTGAACTTCATAGCTCAATAACAGGATAGAAGATCCTCATGCTTGGTTTTAAAGAGATTTTTGGCTAAGCTACACCCCAAGTCTTCAATGTGCTTTGCTTCCTCACCCCAGAGTCTCTCCAGATAGGGTAGCCCCTAGCATGCAATTACTTGTAAGCCTTGCTACCTCAGTGTGGATCACAATGCTTATGGATGATACACAAGATCTCCTTCTTCCCAGGATAGCCTTGTTAAAAATGATTGGGATGCCCCTAAGTGCTACTTAAGTTCAGGGAAATCAATCATAGAGAGGCAGGAGCAGGAATCATGGCAGGGTAGGACTGAGTTGGGCTTTGATAATAAAGAGAGCCAAGTGCAAGAAGGAAGCCCCAAAGGGTCCCAGGTTCAAGGTGGTGAAAAGTGTACACAGCTTATCCCTGAGCACAGGGTGGGCTATGGGGCAGGAGATAAAGTCTGAGGTCCAGGAAGTATGCAAAGGAGAAAAAGAACGAATGTGAGTGTGAGGATGAGTGTGAGAGTAAGTGCATATGAGAATAGGAGAGAATGTGTGTTAGACTGAGCACGTGTGGAAAAGCAATCAAATGTGAGAATGTGAGAAGTTGAGTGAGAAAATGAGAGAACAGTATGTGGTAATAAGTGTGAGGATGAATGTGGAAAATGAGTGTAAGAAAAAGATCGAGTGAAGGAAGAAGTGCGTGGAAATGTGATAATATGAGAGAGAAAGAGTGCCTGAGAAAGACATTACAAGTGTGCAAGTGAGATTTAAGGCTCAGTTTGAAAAGTCTGCACAAGGACACCAGGCAGGAACAGCAGGAGCCTGAAAGGTAGAGAGCCCCCAGCTCTGGAAAGTCCGCTGCTTTGAAAAGAACCTTCCAAAAAACAACTAAAATTAGCAACACCTCCCGGATTCCCCAAAGACTCCTGGGGGAGACTGGGAACCAGGGCCTCTGGATGACTGACAGCTCTATTTCAAGAAACGAGGAGCAACGGGAATATGTGTTTCCAAGCACAGGAAGCCATCTTTGAGCTGTGGCTCCTCTGTAAGAAGCAGAACCTGTAGCCAGGTCCACGGTTATAAAAGGATGGTTTCACCAGAGCAACAAAGGTATCCATGTATTTACAGAAAACCATACTGTTCAGAGTACAAGTCACCTGCAAAGCCTGTTAAAAATATAAACTTATGGCTCCACTATTTTTAAGTGAGTTTTCCCACCAGGGTTGTTAATGTGACAGATTTGGGCTAGTGGTAAAGCCAAAGAATGTTTTCTTTATATTTTTCAATGCCAGGATTTCTGGCTTTCATTTGGGTTGTGGAAAATTGAAAGAGCACCACTCTTGATGGTTTGGGGAAGTTTTAGTCATTCTTCCCCTCCAACAAGTACTACACCATAAAAACTAACCTAAATAAGTCACTGGGTACAGTGCACACCTGCAACCCAAGCAGTCTGGAGGAATGAAGCAGGAAGGTTCCAAGTTTGAGTACAGCCTGGCAACTTAGTGAGATCCTGTCTTAAAAATGGGAAAAAAAAAAAAAAAAAAAAAAGAGTGGAAGGGAGAGAGATGTAGCTCAGGGCAAGGGCTCTGTGCTCAATCCCCAACATAAAAAACTAAAATCAACAAGCAGAAAAATGTGCATATGTTTTGTATGGTATTATACTTCTGAATCTGCTGGACAGTCAAAAAAAAACAAAACAAAACCCTCCTAAGCTGTATTTTTCAACAGGGTAAGGAAGAATCACTTGGCAGCTGGCGGTAAATCTGTTCTCATATTTTCCAGTTGAAAGTAACAGAAAAAATTCCCTTCTCTCTGAAGCATGTTCCCTGATTTTATGCACCATATAAGGAAAAGAGTGATTCTGAGTTTTTAAGCCTCATTCTTTTCTGGCATTAAATTTTATTTGAAAGTTAACATTCTTCCATTATTTTAAAAGTCAATTTATCTGTAGAAGATCCAAACTATAGAAGAGAACTGCTAAGTTTTGAAGAATGTTAAAAGACTTTAATTTTGTTTCATTCTGGGAGAATGGGGGGAGTGACCTTTCTTTAAATTGTTAAGAATATTCTAGCTGCTGGGGATTTAGCTCAGTGGTTCCACCGCCTGATCCCCAGGACAAAAAAAAAAAAAAAAAAAAACCATGTCATCTAGGAGACTGAAGCAGGAGGACTGAAAGTCTGAGCACAGCCTGGGGAACTTAGCAAGATCCTATTTCAAAATTTTTCTTTGGTACCAGGGATAGAACTCAGGACCTTGTGCTTGCCAGGAAGGTGCTGTGATGCTGAGCTAAATCCCCAGCTAAAAAAATTTTTAAAGGGTAGGGAGTATAGCTCATCATGGAGGTCCTGGTTTGAATCCTCATTATCACAAAAAATGAAAGAAAGAAAACCCACAAAACTGTATGTGCAGTACATCAAACATACCCCTCCCAAAAAAGGGAAGGAAATGCACCCAAACAACAGCAGCCCTCTCACTAGGAGGAGTCAGAGAAGCCCAGTGAGAAGACATCACCACAAAGTGCTCAGGCAACTAAGCTCTGCATCAGACTACTCTAGGACTTACAGTCTCCAGTACTTCTTAGCTGTGGGACAGTTAAGACTCACCCACAGGTCTTGATCAGTAAAAGGAAACAATATTTAGCTTCAGAGGCATAAGGATTAAATAAGCAAATCTCTATCATACAGTGATTGGTGCTGAATGAAATTTAGCTGTATCTTATTCCTTTTTATAAAGCCTGTCTTTTCTAACTTTCTATAACAAACTATATTTATTATAATAAAAGAACACTATTTATTAAGGCACGAAGTTCTCACTTAAAGAAGAAAGTATGAAACACTTAAGAGGATTCATCTCTCAGGAGAAAAAAGTGAGTTAAGGACAGAATTTTGTTTCTCCACTTTACTCTGTGTCCACATTCCTGTCAGCAATAGGCAAATGAACTGGCATAAATGTTGACTTACTGGTTTCCTAAGGAAGAAGAGGGACAAAGCTCCGACTAAAGGCATGTCTCCAATCAGGGGCTCCAGAATCACCCGCATTGTCCCATGGATCTAAACCAAAACAGGAAGGAGAACATGTAAGAGAACATAGCTACAGGGCTGTTCAGTGACTTTCAAACATCTGACTTCATCTTTCTCCCAACTAGGACCACAAATAAAAATGTACTTTTTAAACCTTCTGAGCTAGTAAAAGCTTTGTAATTTTCTTTTCAACTAAAGAGAGCTTCAGAAATGAAATTTTAAAAAACTTACCTGTATACTTTTCACGCCAGCTCTACAAAAATAACGTTTGATCTCCAGATCGATCTCACAATTTCCTACAAAACTGGCAAAGAAAAAATTTTAATTACATAAAGTGAGTGAAATTAATTCTACTTTTATTTACTATAGAATTATAAGGCATATCATCTGAATAAAATGATAGTAAAGCAACCAAAATCAGACTGTAAGCAAAAACTGAAAAATGTGGCCCATATCATACTATTTTGCTGCTCCAATTCACAGGTTCAGACAATCCTCACAAAACCTGTGAAAATTACTTCATGTTTGTGTGTATGTGTGTGTGCGTGCACACACGCACATGCATGGAAATACATATACATGTTATACACAAAATCTTATCAATTAAATATAAATGCCCATTTTTCAAAGGAAAATGTGAACAATGTAAACTTCTGAATTTTGATGGAAGGTAGTTATGAATCCTATGTTTATTTAACACATAAAAAGTTTTATATTTCTTTTCACTACCAGTAAATTACATATCATTTTTCCTCAATCATGAAAATTCTTGCTGAGGTGCTCTGAGGCCCTATGATGTCAAAGGTTAGAAAAAAACATGTCTGTTCAGGGTCTCAGCCTTATGCAAGGATTAAGTCATTTCAAACATGAACAGGAGATGAATATGAATCTACTATGACACTGAATGTGAAGTTTGCATCTATTTTTAATGTAAACATGAGATGCCACATAGGTTTGCATGGGATGGTGTATGTTTGACCCTTACCCTTGGCTCCTGGAAGCAGGGCATCACACTCCTGCCTGGCACGTTTGTGGAGTTTGATGAACGCTGGTCAGGGAGTGTCCAGGCAGATGAGCAAAACAGTAACAAAAGGGATCTGGGATGAAATTCTTCCAGTATTTATTGTCCTAGTGTCAAAGCCATACCTATAGATTTTTCTCATTAAGAATTATTCTCTACCTAGTGATAACTTGCCAATGACCTATTGTAAAACTTTGCATTTCTTCACCTAAGACTTGGTCACTTTATTTCCTAATTCTTTTAAATTTCTCTTTCCCCATCTCCACAGCCAATGTAGTAAAGGTCCTTCTCTGGAACACACACACACACACACACACACACACACACACACCCCAATGCAAATATTGCTATGAATGCATCTTCAAAAGGACATCAATTAACTGGTTTAATCAATTATTTAGACAGTGTGTACAGAATACTCATTTGGTGCTGGGGCAGTAAAGAATAGAAGTTTCCCTCCTAATGAATTGTATCATCAGCTTTGTAGACAGGCCTTCCAGGACATGGCTTGACTTCAGACAAATTGAGCCTCGCCTTTTATCTCACTGATGAAAACAGTATGGCTCAGTTCTTAGCCTCTGGTACTACTGGGAGGTAGCAGAACCTTTAAGATGCAGGGCCTAATGGCAGAAGTCAGGTCACTGAGGGGTATGCCCTTGAAGGGGATGTCAGGAGCCCAGTCCTTTCCTTCTTCCCTTTCCTGTCTACCATAAGGTAAGCAGTTTTCTCCTCCCTATACTGCTGGCTTGAAATACTGCCTCATCACAGGCCCAAAGGCAAGAGGCTCAAGCAACCATGAACTGAAACCTCTGAAACTATGAGCCAAAATAAACCTTTCCTCCTTTAAGGGTATCTTAGGTATTATTTACAGTGACAGAAAGCTGACTAACAGCCCTCACACAGGATGCAGGAAGGCACAAGTGAGTTCAAGAACGAGGAAAGAAACAAATTTATCTTTACTATGCTAGGTACATCCTCAATTTCTTATTTTCCCCAATTTAAAAAAATTGTGTTAAAATACACAGAATTTACCTTTTAATCATTTTTAAGAAAAAAAAAATCAGTGGTATTAAACACATCCATAATGTTGTGCACTCATCACCACCATTCACTTCCAGAATTTTCTCATCTTACAAACCAAAGCTCTGTACCCATTAAACACTAACTCCTTATTTCCTTTCCACATCTGGTTACTCACCATTCTACGTTTTGTTTCCATAGATTTTATTACTTTAGATACCTCTTTTAAGTGAAAAAACATGGTAGCCACCTTTCAGTGTTTTGCTTATTTCACTCTTTGGGAAAGTGGAAGGGCAAGTGCAGGTGTGTGCAGGGCAGTGAGAATATGACAGATGGGCTTGCTTCCTAACTGTCTACTTTCACAGTCCCTCAAGAGCAAGAACCTACATGCATGAGAAGGGCATTAATTTGTCAGTGAGGGATCCATTCTTATGACTCAGACATTTCCTGCTAGGTCCCACATCCCAACACCACTGCACTGAGAAATGAACACATGATCCTTCAGAAAACATACTCAGTTCGTATCATATGTATACCCAGAAGAATTGAAGCAGGAACTTGAGCAATATTTGCACACCCATATTCTTGGCATCACTACAGTCATGTGCTATACTTCAGTCATAGCATTTCTGTCAGTGATGGACTGCATACATACAGTGACCACAGCCCACCCTGATGGGTTAATGCCCTTCTCATGCATGTAGGTTCTTGCTCTTAACGGACTGTGAGAGTAGACAGGAAGTAAGCCCATTCCTCACTTGCCCTTCCACCTTCCTCCATGACTTGAAGCAGTACAAGACTCAATCTTAGACTCCTCAGCCTCTAGGCCAGAGAGCCAAAATAAAGCTCTATTCTATTTAAATCACTGTCTCAGACCCTCTGCTATGAAGACAGAAAATGGACTAAGACAAGATGGTAATTATTTTTAAGGTTTTGAAGAAATGCCAAACTTTCCTCAGCAGCTACACCATTTTTTTTCCTTCCTGTCAATAGTGCCCAAGGGTTCCATTTCTCCATATCCTCACCAGCACTAGTTAATTCCTTTTTAAATAGTAGCCAGCCTAATGCATGTGAGGTGGTATCTCCCTGTAGTTTTTTTTTTCTTTTTTTGGTACCAGGGATTGAACTTGGGTCCTTGCGCTTGCAAGGCAGGCCACCCAACCGCTGAGCTAAATCCCCGGCCCTCTCCCTGTAGTTTTAATGTGTGTTTTCCTAATAAGTATGGTGCTAAATATCTTTTCATGTGCTTATTAGCTAGCCATACAGCTTCCCTGGAAAAGTGTCTATTCAGTGCCTTTGAGATTTTGAAGAGGGCTTTGTTCTGTTGTTGAGTTTTAAGAGTTCTCTATATGTTCTGAATATTAATCCCTTAAGATTTATGATTATAGAGATTATAGTAAATCTGTAGACTGCTTAGGATAGCATTAACATTTTAACAATATTAAGTTTTTCAATCCATGAATATGGAATATCTTTCCATTTATATGTTCATTCTTTAACTTCTTTGATCAATTTTTAAAATAGTTTTCATTGTACAAGTCTTTCCTGAGTAAAGTTTATTCCTAAGTATTTCATTCTTTTCCACCATTCTATTATAAAATTTCTTTGTTAACTTCCTGTTTTGGATTTTCGGTTAATGTATCGAAATACAATTAATTTTTGTATGTTAACTCTGCATCTACATTTTTGTTGAATTCATTTATTAGTTCTAACAGTTTATATGTGTGGGATCTTTATGGTTTTCTACCTAGAAGATCATGTCACCTATGAACAGAGATGATTTTACTTCTTCCTTTCCAATTTGGATGCTTTTATTTCCTTTTTTTGTCTAATTGCTTTGGCTATGATGAATAGATGTGGTGAAAGCAGACATCCCTGCCTTGTTCCTGATATTAGAGGAAAGAATTTCAATTTTCTTTTATTTATTTATTTGGTACCAGGTATCGAACTCAGGTCCTCACACTTGTGAGGCAGGCAGTAGAACTACTGAGCTAAATCCCCAACCCTCAACTTTCCATTATCCAGTATAATATGAGCTATGGGATATTTCATATGTAGCCTTTATTATGTTGAGGTGGGTGTTCTTCTATTCCCAGTATTGAAATCTGTTAAATGCTTTTTTGGCATCAACTGAGATAATCATGTAGGGTTTTTTTCTTTTCCTTCTCTTAATGTGGTATATGACACTGACTGATTTTTACATGCTGAACCATCCTTGTACTCTGAGAATAAACCCTACTTGGTGGTGGTGTATAATCCTTTTAATACGCTGCTGAATTAGGTCTGCTAGTATTTTACTGAAGATTCTTGTATCAGTAGTCAGATATTGACTGGTCTATAGTTTTCTTGTATTCAATTTCTTTTACTGAACATATTTTCTCTTTGATAGTTATCTAGGCTATTATGAACTGAGTCGGCAGATGTATAAAATTTGGATCTCCGGGAAGAATTTAGTCAAATTATAACAGCCACCAGGTAAGAAGCATGCTTCTTATGACTTTTACCTTATGAGTATAGCTAAGTGACACTATATGACACTAACCATGACACAAATATAACACAAATAAAAAACTTACCTAACCTGAAGGTCCAGAATAATTTGCCTTTTGTCTACATTTTCAGTATATACCTTAACACCATTGACCCTAAGGGGCTGAAACAAAAAGTAGCTTATTTTAAAATACAGGGATGTTAAAAAACCAACCAACTAACCTACCTACCTATCTTTTAACATACCACAGGGGTGATAAGAACAATGTTTAGCATCAGGCTCTAGGAATTAAAATTCTGTTTTCACAACATACTATCTAGGGTCCTCGGCTGTTGTTTTTATCATGCGGAGAAGTAAATATATTAAGCTCCTTGTCCACTATACATTTAGTGTAAAGTCACATCTCAAACTCTCTAGCAAGACAGACTGAACATCTCAAAAAGGCCACTCTATCAGAAGAATTTGGAGTGGCAGGACACTTACAGAAGGTTCAGGAAACATTGAAAAGAAGCTATGCCAAGAAGGCTGAGCTGGCCAGAATGGCTCAGTGAGGAGGAGGCAACCTAGGACCCTGCAGCACAAAAAGGCATCACATTGGGACAGATCCTGAACTGTACCACAGACAGACCAATCAGCTCTCATGCTGAGTGTTTTCCTCCAGAACATGTGGTTTAAAGTGTTCTTAGGTTCTGACAGCAATCCTACCGTACAAGGAGTCCTGAGCACAAGAAAGAAAGGACACAGATGGAAGAACTGACCTGTTGGCCCACATCCACCTTTGTGAAACTGAAGGTGCTGAGGTGGGTATTTGCTCCCCGCACAGCTGGCTCTATGGTCTCTCGAAATAGCTTCTCTATAAATTGGCAAATAAAAGGCCACATGTGCTTTACAGTCTGAAAAAAAAAAAAAAGAACCCATGGTAAATAAATGTTAGAATATATAATATACTTGAGTCATTGTGAAAATTAGAATCATGTAGTTTACCAGAATTTGGTTTTGAAAAGTAGAAGAAGGAAATGGTCTTTTTATGGAAAATCTATACTTGAAAGTTCGTAAGCTTTAAAAATGTATTACAATTTATTTGTTACTGATTACTACAGGAATTAGTTATTTTGGGTAAACAGTCTATTTAAGCATGTCAGCAGAACTAACAATAACTAAACATCTTATGGTTTCAGCTTATTGCTGGAAACCTTAAACTTTATAAAGCTCAGTAATTAACCATGCATTTTTTTTCCAGAGCCGAGGATGGAAATAAGCCAGGGCTTTGCACACGCTGAGCATGCACTCCATCACTAAGTTACATCCCCAGCCCTGTGAATTTTTTCAAAGACAGACTAACTTCCAGGTCTTCATGGTGATCTCTATCTAGGTTAGTATTCACTACACAGTCATAGTGATGTACAAAATACAAGGTAAAAGAGATCCAGTTCAAGCTGTACTGATCCAAATGTATCTTAAAACATACTACAGAGAATACTAGGCTTTGGGAGAGTTCCCTTTTCATAATGTTTCCAGAATTTTCACTTGTTACTACATATAAAATACATTTAAGTGTACTCTTCTCAGGAAGAGAGACATAAAGCCATACAGCAATGCCAACCATCCAGAACTCTTCAGAAAGGGACGCACCATACACTTATGACTACACTCCCCAGAATGTGGATGCCAGCCTCCCAACTCCCAAATATGAAAAGATGGTCTTTCATTCTCGAATCCCCACTGATCTCTGGCGTTTGAAATATCCTAATCTTACCTTATTTAGCCACTCTGCTCTTTCAGTGTCTGGAAAATGAACCTAAGGGAAAAAACACACACAAGACTTACTGACTCCCAACAATGGTAAATGTCCTGCAGACTGTTTAATATTCTTACTGTGTGCCCTTCATTTACATAGCACTTCTTTAAAACATTCTGCTCTAACACTCTGGAGCACAGTCTCTGAAGAAGCTGAAACGTGCAGCACCTGGCTTGCCATTCTCAGAACCTGCAGGCAGAAGAGCCAAGTGCCAGCAATGGCCATCAGAGTCTTCTGTTCTGACTTTCAAGGGGTGTCCCTGGGATCTGAAACATCATAGAATACACAAAACTGACCACTTTAAAAAGAATCGCCATTAGCATGGCATTCCTTGTGCTCTGGACATACAGACTCAGAGCCTTCACCCCACCACCATTTCATTGTCCTCTTTCAGTTGAGCAAACAGCACCTTTCCATATGAAGCTCCTCTCCACAAGGACTCCCACCCCATCCTGTGCCTGCTATAACTATAGTCCTCCATGGGTAGTGCCATATATTGGAAAAGTGCTTGAAAAAGCAAAAAGAAATCTATTTGTATTTAGAAAAATGATGAAAAATATTTCCTCTGGTGTTGGATCTAAAATAAAACATCCTTGCAGAGAGGCAGGCTAGCACTGTTTCTGGGCACAGATAGGGAAGTCTCAAAGAAAGAAGAGGGAACAGGCCACACCAATGCTATGATCACACACTTGGTTTAGAGGTATAGTGGATTACAACAAGTTTGTACTGGAGTGTGAGAAAAGGACAAAAAGAGGTCTGATGTCTAGGCTTTCCTAAGTTACAGAGAACTTAAACCAATTAAATCTTAAATCCCCTATCTTGTGCTTTAGCCAAGAGACCCTGGACCAGATACAGGACCAGGAGCTGAGGGGGTTCATGGCATCTGGGGATTTCCAAGAGGTTTCTTTGAGATATACTCCACCTCCCATGTTTGAATTTGAGAACTGAAAATGGAATCTATCAGCAGTCAATCTTTGGTCCCAGAGAAGCCACTGTGAAGATGCAGGTCATAGCCACATTAGTCCCAGAAGCCAGGGAGTGACTATTCAACCTGGGCCTTGGCAGGAAGACAGGAGTGGCAGCAACCGTGGCAGTACTATGGGCTGCCTCTGTTTATGGCCCAAGCAGGTCTAATTCCTTACACTACATGGCATGAAGTGCTTGATTTGCTTCAACCATGAAGTAGGCTAGAAGGAGCTGGAATAAGTCATTCCTAGATTAAATTAGCCTAAATCCATCCTTGAAAAAACAAAAAAAGGAACCAAAACCAAAGGGGCAATAACCTCCCAGAATCAAGGAAATAGCTGATTAGTTGAGACAGACAATATTCAAGAAACCAAGGCTGGGGATGTAGCTCAGCAGTGCAGCACCTGCCTGGCAAGCGCAAAGCCCTGAGTTCGATTCCTAAAACAAGGAGGAGGAGGAGGGGGAAGAGGAGCAGTAGCCACCAAAGATAAGCAGAAAGAGAACTAGAAACAATCACTAGTAATAATAGTGCTAGAAACAATCACTATAGTCCAGAGGATGTGTTCCTACCACTGTTGAAAAGGACTCTGACCCTGGTGGAACTGAATACAACAGTGAGCTATACTTTCCCTGGGAAAGGCACTGCCAGACTCATCTACTGGCCACACACTAATTCTGTGCAATTCATCCCCAACCAGTTCTCTGCTATTTTACATTACTGTAAAATTACATTACTGTAAAATTTACATTACTGTAAAGTGGTTCAGCACTTTAAAAGTCAGATCAGGAATGGGATAGGTGGTTGCCACTCAAGGGTATGCCAAGCATTAAAGATACTGAGCTGTGTTCTCTCCCACATTTACTGGGAGGCTGTATTTCTTTCTGCTCCTTCCCCCTAAATTCATCCAACCACAGTGACATCAGAAAGAGCAAAAAGCAAATACTAAGTGTGTTCTAGTTGCTGATCGCCAGAATGTCTTTATTGCACGTGCTCCTTCTTCCGTAATTTTACAGTAAACACACCAAACAACATCTCTAAAGATACAGACCTCAACACCTTAATATACTTGCCCTCTCTTTGATGTCTGTTTACTTCCCCACAATGGCCTCTCCTTGTCTGGCTTCCCAACTACACTAAATTTAACTACTAGAACAATTATCCCAGCAAACAGGAATCTTTCAATTTACTTTCTTAAGACCTTAAGCTCGTGTTTATCAATAGCTTAACATTCTCAGGTTGATCTTCAAAGAAAGCTTAAATCATATTTCTTGGGTTTGCAGCTCCAAAGTCTCACTGTTAGCACGCTCCTATGGAGTCCCCAAGGCTGCCTTGGCTCTCAACAGAGATGTGCTCTTCTCTGTTCACCTCAGGTTCTTCCTACACCCTCCGCAGCCACCTTTCTTCAGAACCAGCTCACTCAGTTCTGCATACCTTCTTGGGGGTGTCAGACCCACAGCACCATTCCTCTCATGCTCTCCCAAGGAGCTTGCATTTTTCAGAACAATAAATGCTCCCCAATAACATCAGGGTCAGAACCCTTACTTCCTGCTGCCAAGTCCATACCTTAAAATAATCAGCCAGAGCTGAGCATGGTGGTGCATGCATGCCTATTATGCCAGCACTAGGGAGGCTGAGACAGGAAGATGATAATTTTGAGGCCAGCCTTGGATACATAGTGATTTCAAGGCCAGCCTGGACTACACAGTGAGACCCTGTCTCAAACAATAAAAAATAAAATCATCAGGCCATTTAACTGGGCCCTCTTCTATTTTCGGTCATCAGAGAGTTCCTATTCATACAAAATCTTAATACCATAGTTAGGCCAGTAAGTACTAGTCTGTGTTTTCTAGTCAGTACAGAATGTTACATCAAGTTCATATTTGAAAATATTATCAAATAGACTACTATTTTCTAATAAAACCATCAATATAAGAAAGTTCTACATCTAATAAGACAGAGGTAGATTTTTCAACCTATAAAAAACAGGCCATTTATTCTTAAAATACAGTTTGCATATATATATATAT